CCCAGGGGCGGTCGCAGACTTGGAGTTTGGGGGGGGCCAACTTGTCAAAGGGGCCCCTGCGCTGACCCGGGGGGCCCGGTGCTAGCTTAAAGGGGCCCACGGACGTAGTGCACGGGTGCAGAAATCCAGGCCATGGCCGGTGAAGCGGGGGGGGGGGGGGGGGGTGGTGGTGAGCGGCACCCGAGAGGAGGCTCATTGCGAAATGCGAGCTTTGAGGGTGTACCATGTCGAAAAGGTACCGATAAGTACATTTTGAAACATTGATATTGTCAATAATTCACGCAACTGTGAATGGACTACCGCAAAAGTAAAGGCGGCGCGGCTAACTTTGCCATTTTCTAAGATCATCGTGCTAGAACTTTTGACAGTGGGTCATCGGTATCTGTTCACTGTTCAATCACATGTGTTCCGTTTCATCTTTTTTTGTTTTTACTTGAACACAAATGTAAGTTTTGAAGGCCATTACAGTAGCCAATACTTCGGAAGATGGATAGTGGGCCAAATATCCTAAATTTGTCGTGCTGCATGGAAAGTAGTGTTGCTGAGAAAAGGGGTTTTGTTCCAGATTACTGTGGATGCAGAATACATTGTCTGCACCCACTGCAGAATTATTGTTGGTGCAATTGCGCCCACTGCACCCATGGTTCCTACACTTATGGGCCCATCGATAGCGCTTCGGCGATACCTATCGCCTAGAGGCTGCAATGGGGCCCTTAGAGTACGGTGTCAGACCCCCCAGAGGCCGGCGTTGGACCCAAGGGTCAGCGAAGGGCCTCAAAGGCCCCAGGTAGGGCCCCAGAGGCTGATGTGGGCCTTCAGAGGCAAGTGCGTGACGCCCAAAGGTAAGGCTTGAGCCCCCCCCCACAGAGAACATAATAGGGCCATCAAAGGCCGGTGTGGGACCTTTAGAGGCTGGTTTGGGCCCATAGGGGCCAGTTTAGGGCCATCAGAGACCAGTACAGGGCCTGCAAAGGGCAGTTTGAGACCATCAGAGACCGAATTAGGCACTCAAAGGCTAATGTGGGTCCTTACAGGCCAGCATGGAGCCCTCAGAGGCTACCGTGGGGCTCTAAAAGACCGACATGGGCCGGCGTTGGACCCCAGAGGCCAGTAGAGGGCCGTCAAAGGCCAAGATGGGCCCTCAGAGACCGATGCGGGCCCTTAGAGGCCGGCATCGGGTCTTCAGAATCCAGTGTGGGGGGCCCTCAGAGGCTAATGTGAGCCCTTACAGGCCAGCATGGGGCCCTCAAAGGTCAGAATAGGACCCTAAAAGACCGGCATGTGCCGGTGTTGGACCCCAGAGGCCAGCGGAGGGTCCTCAAAGGCCAAGATGGGCCCTCAGACGCCGATGCGGGCCCTGAGCGGCCGGCATCGGGTCTTCAGAAGCCCGTGCGGGCCCTCAGAGACTAAGGTGGGTCCTTACAGACCAGCACGGGCCCTCAGAGGTCAGCGTGGGGCCCTAAAAGACTGGCATTGGCCGGTGTTGGACCCCAGAGGCCAGCAGAGGGCCCTCAAAAGCCAAGATGGGCCCTCAGAGGATGATGCGGGCCCTTAGATGCCGGCATCGGGTCTTCAGAATACAGTGCGGGGCCCACAAAGGCTAATGTGTGTCCTTACAGACCAGCATGGGGCCCTCAGAGGTCAGTGTGGGGCCCTAAAAGACCGGCATGGGCCGGCGTTGAACCCCAGAGGCCAGCGGAGGGCCCTCAAAGGCCAAGCCATGGGCCCTCAGACGCTGATGCGGGCCCTGAGCGGCCGGCATTGGGTCTTCAGAATCCAGTGCGGGGGCCCTCAGAGGCTAATGTGGGTCCTTACAGGCCAGCATGGGGCCCTCAGAGGTCAGTGTGGGGCCCTAAAAGGCCGGCATGGGCCGGCGTTGGACACCAGAGACCAGCGGCGGAGGGCCCTCAAAGGCCAAGATGGGCCCCCAGAGGCCGATGCGGGCTCTTAAAGGCCGGCATCGGGTCTTCAGAATCCAGTGCGGGGGCCCTCAGAGGCTAATGTGGGTCCTTACAGGCCAGCCAGCATGGGGCCCTCAGAGGTCAGTGTGGGGCCCTAAAAGGCCGGCATGGGCCGGCGTTGGACACCAGAGACCAGCGGAGGGCCCTCAAAGGCCAAGATGGGCCCCCAGAGGCCGATGCGGGCTCTTAGAGGCCGGCATCGGGTCTTCAGAATCCAGTGCGGGGCCCTCAGAGACACTTAAAGTCTAGTCTTGGGACTCGAGAGACAGAAATGAGGCCACCAGAGGCCGGTGTGAGGCTCTCAGACGCCGGTTGGGCCCTTGAGCCTTGAGGCCGGTTTAGGGGCCCTCAAAGGCCAGTGGAGGGCCCTCAGAGGTCAATGTGGGTCCTCAGCGGTCAATGTGGACGCTTGACCGCCACTGAAGGGCCCTCAGAGGTCAGTGTAGGACCCTCAAAGACTGGTATGGGAGCTGTTAATAGCTGGCGTGGGTTTCTCGAGCCTCGTGACAATCGAATACGGGCCAGGGCCCCATACGGCCATGGGGGCCCATCGGTTGTTTGGGGGGGGGGGGGTCAAATGATATGATGGCCCCCCCTGATTTGGCTTTGGGGGGGGCCATGGCCCTGATGGCCCCCCCCTGCGACCGCCACTGGGGTTGCCACGTTTTTATTGAAAACTCAGCGCGGTGGCTGCTTTCGCCCTCAATCGGTCGTCATTTGGTAATGCTCCCCGGGCCGATCACAGGCTCTGGGTAACGCCCAGTTTAGCGCGGCCATACCGTGGGATCGTGAGCTTTATCAGCGCTGGACAGCGGCACTTTGACGGCCAGTCTGCACTGCGACAGGCTGGGAGGGGCCGGCAGGGGTGGGATGGGGTAGACGGTAGACCGTCCAACGTCCCTCCCCGCCAGGCTGGCCAGGGATCTAACCTAGACATTATTCCAGTGGCGACAAAATACGGTGAACCGACAATCAGCCTCCAGCAAAACTTGTCTTACGCCAAAAAATTGCGAGCGTGAGACCCATTCAAGTTCAATGTTCGGATGAGTACTGTTTTTAATAAAAAGACAGGCTTAGAGAATTGCTGCTAGATTTTGACGCCCGACGAAGGAATGCGGAACATCATTCCTCAGACGATGGTGGCTGTGAGTGTCACACATCATCGGACACGACTTGAGGCTTCAGCGACATCAGGTAGTTACCCTGTACTGCAGGCTAAGGGAGCCAGGAAGGAGGGGTCGTTACTGGTTACGGTGGGGTACCCTCGCTCGTCGTTACCAGTTACCACCCCGCCGCAGTCCGCCGGCGATCATCGTCGCCCGGACCCGATCGCGTATTCATGGAGTCGAGAGTAAAGCCGTGTAGTAAAAATATACGACCGCGCAGAACTCTTGTGGCGAGCACCGTGACGAAAGGAGAACGAACTGGAACCGCAGGAGGGAGGAGTGACGGCCGGGGAGGGGGAAAGGAAATGGACACTCGCCGTCATCCCCCCACGCGTGAGCCCGACCCCAGGCGTACACCAGCGCTGGTTCGAGACGGGATTCGGTTACCGAGACACCATCCCCCTCGCGTATCCTGCTGTATCGCGTTGAGTGCGAGGTGGTAAAAGAAGCCTTGCCTTTCGCATTCGTCCTCAGCTAACCCGAACGAACAAAGAAAGACGGAATAGCCATCGAACGACTAAAGCGAAATCCGTTTAGCCATTTCTATTGCTTATCATCTCCAATTAGCCATGTGCTGCCTTGTCTCTGAAAGCAGCCTAAAAGCCTGCGAATCCTTAGATCTTAACCCGCGCCCTGCTGGGGGGGGGGGGGGGGGGGAGTGTTTGAACACCCCCCCTTGTGGTTTTTCGCGAAGCCGCCGTTTTTGGTACATCTTATCATACATCAATTCTACACATGTTGTGAAAATTTCAGACCAAGGTCATTCAAGGTCAGGTCACCAGGTCACTTGAAGTGACCTCACCTCATAAAAAGTTTCAATGTCTGTCATAGCTACACCGAGTGACCGATCGCTTTGAAACTTTCAGCGATTGCTAAGAGCAATAGCATGTACAAAATGTATATCTCAGAATTTTGATATAGATGACCTAAGGTCAGGTCAATTTTGCGACCTCCCCATTATAAGTCAATGGGAGAAAATTGAAATGCACCTCTTTTGGACGAAAGACATTATAAACACTCCCAAACACCGAATTACAAGTGGTATAGACACACAGAACATGAAAATGGTGTCCGTGACCCTTGTTTATGCCCTGGGGTCATCTTAGGTCACGAATGGTATCTAACAGTTTTTCGCAAATAACTTTTGATAGAGGCATGCTAGAGCGATGAAAACGCCTTAGATGTGTTCAGCTCGACGATACGGATCGACTGATATGCAACATGACCCTTTCCGGTCAGGTCATGACCTTGACCTGAGATCAAATTTTCAAGTTGACCTTTCAAGGTCAAGTTATAGTTCATTCGATGCGTCTTGACGAGAGGAACACGATGCCGGTAAAAGTAAGCTCGTACAAGGCTTGGGTCAAAAGTTATTGCAGAAAAACTATTTCCGAAGAATTCGGCTATTTTTGCAGTTTTTGCCCCCTGCAGGCAAAACCGTTGACGTTAGGTCAAATCTGAGAGAATTACTCAGAAAGGGCGTTAATAGGGCTATCGAATGCGCTTTTCCGCGGCGCTGTAGCTCTATTGGTTCCCGAGTTATGCGTTAGCTTCTTGGAAATTTTCGACATTCGACCTGGAAATCGGCGAAATTTTGCCTTCTATGACCTCTGGTGACCTGACCTTTGACCTGACCAAAAAATTGACCGAAGTGATTTCGTCATTATTTTTGACGCTCTTTCGAACGCCGCCTTCCGCGTATCGCTACGTGGCCCAGGAGCCGAGTTACAAGGGGGGGGGGGTGTTCAAACACCCCCCCCAGCAGGGCGTGGAAATCCAGGACCCCCAGCCGGGCGCGGGTTAAACGTGCTGTTTCACAAGGAATCTGTGAACCACGATCGTTGGCACCAGCCATCCCTCAACAAAGAATGTGACTATTCACTGTTGTATTACACTTCAAACACATGCTACAGAACAAACAATCGTCCCTCGTGAAGTCGACATGGCGCTAGGCACCTGCAAGTGGGGCAACGAAAAAAAAAAATCGACTAGTGGTGTGACCTGCACGCCCCACGTCAAGCCTCCGAAAAAAAACACTGGTTCACGAATCATCCACCTACAAACACTCACGGCGAACTTCCGCAAATCGGCAGCTTGCACAGAGGTTATCTCAAAGAAATGATGACTACGCTGTATCTATTTACAGTTCTGGCGCCGCTATCTTATGTCACTGAACAGACACGCGTGAGCGGCTTCCACATAACACGTCTACAGAGCTAAAGCTCACTGGTCTAACCAGTGACTGCATGTTAGCCCAGATACATGAACAAGTAAATGCGCGTTTGCCTTGCTCATATCTCTGAGGTAAAAGATACGAATGGAGCTTCTGCAATGCACATTGCACACATGTGCGTTACAATTATTGCTCGAGGTAAATGGAAATCACGAGTTTAACGTACAAGTTCACACAATGTGGTGGCAAGGCAGCCAGGTGCATGTAAAATGCCAATGGATGGCGAATACAAAGACAGCATTATACGTTTATGAATTCGCACTTGCCATGTTGGCTCATACAGTGCAGGACAGGTGCGCTTAGGGGGCTCGAGCATTTTAATATTATAGCGTGGGCACTGTTCTTATTGCGAAACAACGCTTTTGCATATTGAATTTGTGTTTCCTTTGAATCAGATCACAATTACTGAGTTAATCACACATAAGGACATATTTCCGAAACAAAAATACCGTCGTCCAACAAAATTCCATTATACGTACTGACAGTAAACTGTTTCAAAAATCGCTCCTTTTAAAGACACCATATAAAGATAGCGATGTTAGTCTGAACAACACCAGGTGGTTACGTTACGATACAAATATCGGACCTTACACAGTACAACAAAATCAAGGCAAACATATAGGCAAGTGAATGCAGAGCTTTTCTAGACGAGCCTCCCGTTATTTGTTTTAGCCAGATCTGGCTGGTCTTACGACTAAGAACAACTGAATTCACCTCAAATGCAGAAATTTCTGGTTCAAAGAGTAGGACAGATAACTTTTACAAAACAGTAATAGCTTTAGAGACATAGCAAAGCTAGCCGTAGCCAGCCTAGCTAGCCAGCTTAGACGAGCCAGGATTGTGCCCCATGCCCGCAAGTCTGAGCCTGATCGCTACACATTGGAATCCTGGGAGGTCTTACGATGGTAGGACACACAAAGAGCGAGGCCCGGTCGTACTAGATTACGATCAGCGTCATTACCACAAACAGTTTCATAACTATCGACGCTATGGTCGACATGGCGCTACGGGTCGGCCCGCTCATACTGAGATTTTCCGTTAAACCACAGACAAACTCACTCGCTCGCTTGTTAACCAATGACAAGCATCACCGTACCTGGCACGATCATCACATGAGGAAATATCCGGTCTGCGCTGGCACCAGCCATATCACTGTCCGTTCCACCGCTAGACGGCGGCAGAATGGAGATTCCCGTCACACGGGGCCTACCCAAACAAATCCCAGGACAAACCCACACGGCGGCAATTAGACATTTGCCACAACCAGCTCCATCTGTGCACTTCAGGACTGTGCGATGTTATCGAACAAAGTCGTCACAGCTCCAACACATTCACTTATACCTCTATCACATCTCATCCTCTCCTTCCTCGTCAGGACTTGTCTCACAGTTTCATTCAATCAAACACCGAGATCGTCGCTTACACGGTCTAACCGTCATTACACAACCATTCTCAAAGTCTATCAGCTCCGGTAGGGGCCGCAGCGGTCAAACACCCTACCCCCGGCGCCCATGGAAGTCTGACATACACTCTCGCACGCTGAGGTATCTGATCTAATGAGGAACATGACTGAGGCTATGCCATCGCTGTGATGTGTGCATCGGCCACGGCTGGTGCGTACTTCACATCGGATATATCTGAAAATACAGAAGCGGTGCTTTAGACACGGCAGGTAGGGTGTAGCATACTAGCGGCTGTCTTCTGTTACATGAAAATCCAGATACTCAAAAGCAGGCGCTCATACCATTAAAAGCGCAGTGAGAATAACAGTCATGCATGATATAACAAGTCACAGGACAACATTTCAACGTTACGTTACAAATGGGACGTCCATGATTCCAGATTTGTCACCTGCAGTGATCACACAGGTAGCACACCGCTTGCAGTCATTTAGCCCTCATCCCAGAGCCTCACACCCTTCCACCCCACGCAGGTCCCCATGCCCCCGGTCACCAATGCCTACCTGTCTGTGCCGGCCGCGTCCCATCCTCCTCTCGGACGGCGTCCCCCTCCTGCGGCGCTGCCCTCTTCTCCTCCCCAGAGACTAGCTCCATGTCTGTACGCGCCGGCAGGTAGGGCTCCGGTCCGACCAGGCTCAGCAGCACTGGTAGAAGCACCAGGCCGTGGAACAGGCCATACACGGTGACGCCGAAAAACACCTGCAGACACAGCGACATCTGGTCAGTGGGGGAGAAGTTACATTTCCGAGACGCGCTCGAGATGGCGTGGAAAGAACGGGTGAAACGGAGCTATAAAAGAACTGATGAATATTGTATAGCTAACGCACACTTTCCGTTCAAATTGAAGAAATTATTGGAGGAGCATGAGCCTAGAAGGAATAACGTATAGCTGACGCTAATAAGAAGAAAATATGAATAAACGAGTTACGCAATCTGTTGACCAGCAGCAAACATTAGCTTCGCTCAGTCTCCATTCATCCACCGACCCCCGCTACCCCGCCTCACCTTAAAGAACGTCACAAACACGTGCGACGTGGAGGTGGCCAGGAAGACGAAGGCGATGAACGTGCTGAAGCCGCCGTTGAAGACTGCGGGTCCGATGTCTCGCAGCGTGTCGGCGGCCCGCTGGCGACGGTCGCCCCGCTCCGTTAGGAACGTGTGCCCCACGTGGGCGGCGTAGTCGACACACAGACCGATGGCCAGCACCACGTCGATACAGGAGACGGTGTCGATAGTCAGACCCCAGAAGTGCATCAGACCGCCCACGTCCACCTAAAGGGACAAGGAAGGGGGTCATCAAGCGGTGAGTGGTATCGCATCCAGTGCAGGAAGTAGTAAGCACAACGATCGGTACTGGCATAGACCTCTCAAGTCTCAGGCATTATCAAAGCAAAACGAACAGAACCCCGTCCGTCGCTCACCAGCGTGAGCAGTGCGAACCAGCCTTCTCACCTCTTCCCTCTCTTACCAGTGTGTGATCACCACCCCTCCTCCCTCCCTCTCTCTCTCTCTCTCTCTCTCTCTCTCTCTCTCTCTCTCTCTCTCTCTCTCTCTCTCTTTCTCACCAGCGTGACGAGCACACAGGTGAGCACCAGCAGACAGACGGTGAGATTGGCGATCAGCAGCAGCACCATCACGAACACGCACACCATGGCCAGGCCCATGTTGCGGTACAGCTCGTATTCGATCACCTGGTCCGTCTCCCAGCTGGCGTAGGCCTCAGCCAGCGGCTGCACCAGCGGCGCTGTGATAAGAGGGAACGAGGTGGTGTTAAGGGTGTGGTGGGCGGGTCAGCAGACCCCGTAAAACAGGTTTGATGGATGTCCATGATTCCCCCACTTTAATTCTATCAACTATCAAGATACATTTTCGTTCATAACATCCAGTTCATGGTCGCATCATCAAATATTAAGCACTGCGTCAAAGACGTCGTTCCAAAAAAGTCAACGAATCAGTAGCACCGTTATTATGTCGTCACCTAAAACGGCCTGCATCATTGCCTCCGACCTAAGAGGTCCACCACTCTTTCCCTACTTTCCCGACGCCGTAGGTTTTCCCGCGTCTACCTTCGCCACCCCACCTTGCCTCCTACCCCCCCCTGTACCATAATCTCCGCCTTCCACCCTCCCTGTGCCGCCCTTCCTCTCCTACCTTCGCCAGTGAAGTTGACGGAGTTGACCAGCTCCTTGACGCGCACCATAGCCGGGATCTGTTCCCGCGGCCCGTCCATCAGACGGTGCGTGAATGTGATCATCGAGGCCTGCGGGCACAGTGGAGCGGTTACAAGCTGAGGCGACAAATGAAGTACGCTCCAGACACAGAGTTTGTATCGATCGATAGTTGGAAAGTCAGTGAAATAATCACCAGAGGGGAACAACAAAGAATATTTTTTTAAGGATGGAGATGCTATCGCTGAACACTTTTCAAAGTATAGATAAAAGAAAAAGTTTTAGTAAATTCTGATGATTTTAAAACTTTTCCATATATTATGGGCATCAGGCTACGTTTAAACGTTTTTCTTATATCCATACAGATAGCCTTTTTGCATTTCTCTTACATAAGCCGCGACTTTGGGCAGCGGCTCCGCACGTGGCTCGCACGTGAGACGCTATGATCATTCTTAGTTCGCGAACGATTATGTCATTGTGAACTTCACGGCTCGACTACAATGACAAACGATCTCAGCTGTTGACAATGAGAGCATCGGTACTTTGATGAGATGCAGAACCCCTGCCTTACATGTTTCACAATGATATTACACGCAGTTAACGCTCCACTTCCACTTTGCACCCACAGAGTACTGCCGACCTGATTGCAATAAACCGTAAAAAGTGACGAAATTGAAACGAGTAAAATGCCTCGTGGGGTAAAAAATACACGTGTGCGAAATTCTTTATCTAATAGCTTAACATATTTACCGCACCGAATTAGGCGAATCTGTCGCACTGACATAGGATTCCCGCCTCCTGGCTCGTGCGCCCTTACTCCGCAGAATCACCCGTGAGCCCATCGCCATTGCTTCCTTACCCCCACCCCATCCCACCCCCACCCCTCCGCGGAACCAGGAGGATGGTGACCGGGTCCATTACCGTGATCGGAGGCGCCGGCTCGCCGCAGGTCAGTGTGCCGTTGAACTGGATGAAGCTCTGGTATTTGCCGCCGCGCGGGCTGAACATGAACTGGCCCAGTAGCGGTAGAAACTCATAGCCGTCGGCGAACCGTTCCGGCAGCTCTGCGGACCGGGTCAGCGGTCAGAGGTCACGGACCAGCAGGTTAGAGGTCAGAGGTCACGGGTCGGAAGTCAGGGGCCAGAGGTCAGCGCTCAGCGATGGTGGAAAACTTGGAAAAGGCGAAACTCTGCGAAACGAACTGAAAACAGCTAAAGTGACTGGAACTCTTAGAATTCTTCTGATTCTCCTTCAATTAAAAGTGATTGCTAAAATAGCGGAACATTGAGCGGGTGTAACTTCGAACGACGAAAAAAAAGAAGAGAAAAAAACGTAGGAGACAGGAAGGCTTTTGGAAAAAGAGTAGGACATCACTGCAGTGTGTCTGCGTCCGTGATGCCGAAGTACGGGCATATACATCACAGCGCCCATCAGATCTACAACCAGTAACTCACAGCATTCATCAAGTGCGTATCGCATCTCACCTCCGTACTCGTTGTAGTTGATGTAGAACTGAAACTCGTCGTACCACGAGTCCACGTGTTCGATGCTGGGCTCTGCGCGCAGCTTCTGCGAGAGCAGAGCCATCTGCGGCAGGTTGTCTGCCAGGTGGAGCCCGCTCAGGAACACGACGCCTTCGTGACCTGTTGAACGGTCAGTTAGATCAGTCAGAAAGGGAGAGAGCAACGGTCTGAGTGTCGGCCATTCAGCTCATACTTTAATCCATGGAATCCTTCAGTAGGAACATACTAACAATTGACAACCGTGATTATAAAAAAATAACACAGGTCAGTACCACACTTCTAATGAAACCTATCTCGTACTTCAATGCAAGGCAAGAGACCAGGGTTCAGGCCGACTGTTTTAGGCTTCACGTTACATTTCACGCACATGTTATGCCCTGCAAAGTCTCAGTCTCTGTTGGCAGTGATGTTCAATCTCGTACAACATTTTGAGGAGCCCTCACAGCAAAACTGCACGCAATATGAATACGATGAGCAGCTGATAGGCGCTACCACAAAACCCCAACACTGCGTGCTGACCTTCATTAGGGAAGAAGCGCTCGACGTTTCTGTGATACATGGAGAGGTACGAGTCAGTGGGCAGGAACCAGAGCGGGTTGAACTCCTGACGCAGCTCCGACAGGCCCCACGAGTTGACCGCCAGCAGCGCGCAGGTGACCACCAAAACAATCACCTGAAGAGAGAGAAAGGTGAGAAAGTGAGGTAGAGGTGAGGTGAGTGAGAGGTGGGAAAAGTGAGAGGGGAGGAGAGGTGAGATAAAGAACGGGGTCAGACGCGAGGTAGAGAGGGAGACCACGAGGTGGAAAGAGGAGTGAGGTAAGAGGGACGAGAAAGAGGGGGAGAGAAAATGGCGCGGGAGTGGCCGAGACATCGAACGATGCTAGCCAGACGGTCGGCTGGAAATCACAATAGGATTTGGTATGATGGGGACGACGACATGAAAGGACAGAGCGGGCGAAGTACTGAGAGTAGAAAATAGGATCGACATATGATCGAAAAGCATCCCCATAGTACCAACCCGCATCAAAGACCGGCCTAGCACGCCATTCCCGACGCGGTCATCGCCCTCACAGACCAAGGACGCTAGCCGAAGGACACTGCAGAGGAGCACAAGGCCATGCCGGATAACGATAGGGCAGTTCAATCACATACAATATTTAACCTCTCATCCGACCGCCGATCGGCTGCGCTTACGCGAGCCACCCTGCAACTTATAATAGTACTGATGTTACGATAGCGCCGGCGCCGGCAGAGGTCGATGGCTCGTCAAACAAGGTCCAAGGGAAGTCCACAACGATGAACGGCAGCAATGCATTATCTGCATGATCTGCGAAGATCAATCTATTACGATAGCATTATCAGATAAGGCCCTGCCTAGGCGCGCGTGCGGAACCGCAGACATGAGGCCCACTAGCAGGAAAAAGTGCAAATACTGCAACTACATGTGGAGAGAGATGAGATGGATTAGGGCGACGTAGCTGACTGCATATCTATACGCGTAGACACGGTACTCGCCAGTCGCCGGACACAGAACCAAGACAAAGTGCACCATAGGCATACATTCTCGGTCTCTCTCTCTCTCTCTCTCTCTCTCTCTCTCTCTCTCTCTCTCTCTCTCTCTCTCTCTCTCTCTCTCTCTCTCTCGCTCTCCCCCTCCCCTCCCTTCCTCCTGCTCTCACCTTTCCGGGGACACTGAGTACGGCCGGCGCGTACACTCTGCTGAAAAAGTTCTGGAAGTAGTTGCGCTGACTGCATGTGTTCGGCACCCAGTTGCGGTGTGTGTAGCAGGGCACCAGGCCGTCGCGCCGCGCCTCAATGCGCCGCTGGTCCAGGGTGAACCAGGCTACGAACCAGGTGGCCTGAATGAAGTACACGGCCATGATGCCGACCGCTGCGTAGATGCAGAACGACTGCAGCGAGGGGAGCACCTGCACGGAGAGAAAAGGCGGTGTCACAGCGACGAAGGGTGTGATGAGAGGAACACTGGAGTCAGACATGAACGACCCGTACGATATGGATACAAACCGGCATATGACAAATGAGAACTATCCTGCAAATTAACTGCTTAAATATTTCAATTTTTTCTTGCATCAATTGCTTCGAATTCTGACGTTAATAGAATCAAGAATCAAGGTTGTTTGGGCTCTGGAAGAAGACGTCGAGGTCTATGATGTAGCCCATTTCTTTTTTTAATCACATGTTCTTCATCAGTTTGATTTCTCTTGGGTCAGTCTTGTCTGTCTGCCCGATGTTTGTCGTATCTTGACTTAAATTGGTTAGATGTTTTTGCCGTTTTGATGTGAGAGCTTAACAAATTCCATTTATTTATAACTCTTTGTGAGAAAAATCTTCCTCTCTTCAACGTTCAACTTCAAATAAATAATCTATACACACGTTTGTCAGATTCGAGCTTCGTCACGCTATTGGTATAAAAAAAAAATGCTGTCTCATACAATTCGTGCCAGTCATTTTATCATAAGAGCTCTTATACACTATCAAACCGCCAAAGAAGTGTCCGTAAGTAGTGCACTCCCTATTCAGTAACCAGGCCGCCTCTCTCGCACGGAACATAGCGCCACGCGCATTCGTAAACCTTTGGACCTCTTTTTATCGAAGTGACAGTCCTAATCAAACACATGCCACGAATGACTAGTCGAAAGCTAAACGTAGCACTCAAACCATCAGAATTGAACCTTGCACTCAAATCAAGCCTGGCCAATAAACCAACCATATAAAAACCATACTCGCTGTATCACGCAGTCGGGCGAAGGGTAAAAAGTGGTCCAAAAACTACCACCAGCGTAGTACGGGAGTGGCACGGGAGTGGCACTGGAGATGAGCCCCCGGCGCCACATTCAGAGAACTCGGCGACAAAAACGGGGACTGTTCAATGTCCGATATTGGCCCCGATTCACTGAACACTGGGATGTGTGGGTAACATCATACACTTGGCTTACAGATTTCATTAAAACGAACGCATCAACTAAGCGCCGTCGAATCTTGTTTATGAAGAATCATTACATCTAATAAAAGCACCAAGCAGACGCGATTTGACGGCGAATGAACTGTCTCAAAATGTAGACCACCCATCCGACCCCACACGGCCTTTTGGTGACAACGCGGGCGTTTTCCCTGGCACCGCACGCCGAACGCACCCACTCACCGTGGACGCGCCGATGCCGAACGCCACAAAGTCGGTGAGACTGGTGACGGTGATTGACACGCCGGCGTGCTGCAGGGCTCGGCCGACCCGCTCGGGGAGCGGTCGGTGCCGGTCGGCGGCCGGCAGAGTCTCCCAGCACTGCAGGACTACGAACATGTCGTCCACGCCAAGACCGAGCAGCAGCAGCGGCAGGATGTTGTGCACCGGCCCGAAAAACACGCCCAGCGCCGAGCAGAGGCCGAACGAGATCACCACCGCCAGGCCGACACTGGCCACGCCGATTATCGAGAGATACGTCTGGGGAGGGAGAGCAGAAAGGTGTTACAGGTGGAGTGTGAGAGAGGGAGCTCAAGGGATCGTCTGTGGAATGACATACCGGTCGTGTAAATCATAAGCCTAAGGGAGCAGTATTGACTGGGCTTACTCGAGCCATTCATGACGGCTAAGTACCCGAACGCAAAAACACATAAACATGAAAGCTTTCCAAATAATGACGCATTCCGGTCCGGGCTCCTCCTGCGACTCCACTCAGAAATTACATACGGCAAACATGAGAGGACAAATGTAATCAAGACCGCTTGTCATGGTCATTTTCGAAGACCGTGAATCACCAGGCCAATGAACCGGCGATAGCATCATGAAGAAATCGATACTCACAATTAATTACCAAATTACTTTATTTACTATGCCAGTTATGCAACTCACTATCTGTAGTTAGCAAAACAACACTGCAAGACAGAAATGGATACCCACGGGCCACGACCACAAGTTTTTGCATCGTCTTTTATGTGCACACAATAATAAGATAGCCGTAGTGCTCGCTGCACGGACATGACATAAAAAGCAACAACAGCGAAGCAGCCACGTGCTCAAAGTCCAAATGACGTTACTTCGACTGGAGACTGCACGGACTGCACAAACTCAGGAGTCAGTTGCGCCACCCCTAAACTATCAGCGCATCTCTGCATTCAGATCGGTAACGTGACGTCATTCGTCACGGTTCGCCGTCACGACCGCTCCGAGCGTGTCGCACATCTCTGCCCGTCACGGTGTGATGACGTCACGCCGCGTGACCTTCACTGCGTCACAGACACGTGCGGCCGTTACCCGCCCATCCGGCGGCTGTGCTGAACCGCGGCAGACAGAGACTTCGAGTGATAACCGCCCGCTGGCACGCCGCGCGGACATGCAGGGGGTCATGGGGGACACGCAACGACAGAGGCTCTGGCGGTCTGCCGCGGCGGGGCCGCACACGGACACATGCCTCATTGCTAGAACACAAACAGGATATGTGAGCCACCAATGGCCACATGACCACAGTCCGCCCATGAGGAGAGGAGCGTACACCGACAGGACGTCGTTTTGTAAGTGGATACGCCTTGATCTTAAATAAGACGGGTCGGCAATCTTATTTTTGGGCACGGGCCCAATGAAACCAAGAGGCCGGGCCAGTTATGATCAGGCCGGACCAATTATGGTCATGTCATTAACATCATTTAATGTATTCGGCAATCGCATGAAACACTTGTCAAATATGAAAACGTAATAAATGGAATGCTTAATTTTGATAGATCAATTACTGTGCTGTGATGCGTCATACAGTAAAATATACGCTCTTAAACAGACTGCATCAGCAGACGAAAACCAGTTTTTGCGCAGCGTGCACTAGTTATATTTTTGTGAGCCAGATCCGGCCCACGGGTCGCGCAGCTTTGCAACGTTTCACAGACAGGCGCGATGCAATGCATTGTCATGGCGGAATTACGAGCCGGTCCAGGGAGAGGATGGGGGGGGGGGGGGCGAGGGGCTCCGGGGAGCTACACTCACCCTGTGTTCGACCATGTTGCAGCGACCCAGCATCAGCTGGATGTAGATGAACATCACCACGTATCCCAGCACCAAGTACTTGACGTCGCCGAAGATGGTCGAGTTGCTGATCTCTCCGAAACTGGACACCAATACAGCCACACGTGTCAGTGGCCACGCCAGAGGGCAAGGGTGCCGGTACTTCGAACATTATCAATATTTGGAAATACTGTCACATGGACATTGGACATAGAGCATAAGCACACGTGGCGTTAAAATATTATAGCAATAAAATTTTGCGTACCCAGAATGTTTTCATCGTTGATCATTTAGGGATACACAGCTGACCACAGTATAAAACATTCATAGTCTATAGCGGCCGGTGCCCCAGCTCGACCAACTGGATCGGATTAAATAACAACTCTCCCAACTGCCCAGCAACAGTGCGATTGCCTCAAACGGCAAGTATGCAGCACACACGACGAAAACACCGCTGGCAGTGTAAACGAGACTCCCGAGGGGGCCAGCAAATGTCAGTCAGACCATGACATTTTTGTCATTTCTGACTGGAGATGAAACAGTTCAGACCAGCCTACCGGCAGACGCAGCAACAATACGGCTGGACACCGGGTAACAACCTAGAGCAGGGTATTTAACTGAACAAAGTCGCTAATTATGATACTGTAACTTATCAACATACCGCAAACTCCGGAAGGAGCGGGAATAGTATCACCTGGCGAGGACAGAAAACTGGAACTGCAGGGCTACAGTGCGGTGAACAGTGTAAGTGAGCAGAGCTTGTGCCGCTAGACAGCATTCCCTCCTTAGAAGTCAGCAAATATTACGTGACTGATCCGAAACCCATAATCAGCGATACAGTACCACGTGACTAATCTAATATCGGCGATGTAATATCACGTGACTCACCTTTTTCCGGCGCTGTAGTAGGGGAAAGTGGGGTATGACGGGCATGTTAGTTTTGCGGGTCTGTACCTCTGAAGTCTTTTCTTCGATTGCTTCACCAATTTAGCACAACCATCTTCAGGCATTTTTCTTTCAGTGCCCCTTTGACACCTAAGGTCTAAATCCAATACTTTTCAATTGAGAGTGTTTTTAGCAAGACCCTGCAAAAACCCGTCTTACCCCACCGGGGAGGGTAAGACGGGCACTGATGTTGGGGCAAGACGGGCACAACGTTAGTTTGAACTTCTTTACATATTTACTGCCGAATAATTATGCTAATACATCTTACACATCTGGCTTTTGATCTTACAGTCAATATTGTAAGGTTCGTAGCATCGCACGGCTACTTATAGGCGTAATGGTATTGATCGATGTAATGAAAAAATTAAACAAATTCAAAGCTGTCTATTTAAATAATTTCGATGGAAATGCGTTGCAAATGATGTAGAACAGCGTAAGTTAGCTTAAAATAACAATATCAGATGGTTTGCATTCCTTTCATCATTGTTGCCCGTCTTACCCCATTCGGCTGCCAATAAGGATATCACACCGCCTCCGGGCACCAAATTAAAGGATTCATTCGCCAGCATACACATTTGGATGACACCCTAAGACGAAACTCTCATCAAATTTCCAAAACAAAATATGAAACAGCGAGGTCAGAAAACACTACGAAACACGATAGTTCTGCTTAGAGTGCAAGGCACGTTTTTAGCTTTTCCACAATTTTTCAAAAACTATTTAAGATGCGTACCTCTGCCTTCACCTCACAGCAAAGAACCACACGGCCGATTACCAACCACAACAAGAGGTTGCTAGCGCCAACGGTTTGGGCTAGAGGGCCGGTGCCCGTCTTTCCTACCCCGCCCGTCTTACCCCACTTTCCCCTACCATGTGACTCCGTGAAGTGAAGGCGCAGAGCTAAGAACGGACAGAAAGTGGTTCTCAAACAGTAGAGTGTTCTCGTCCACCTGAAAACAGGCATATCCGTGTTATACGGAGTTACATACACACGTCAAACTGTCATGCATTGCTGATACGAAAAAAAAAACTTAGGCTATCTCCGCCTCTAACGCAGATAAGGCGAAAGTGGTCATCCACCGTTCCATGCTTCTATCCTCAGGATACGGAAATCCTTCTCCTCCACGCCGCAACCCCCTCCGGGCTGGACAGGCAACTTTATCCCATGCGGGCTGCTCCCTTGGAGCGGCACCGCTGCTCTCGAGGGAGCGCACCCCGTAGCCGGGTGCAGTGAGTACCTTGGGGCTGGTCGGCCTGTCCTTCGGGATGGGCTCAGCCCCGGTGACTCACTAGGATGCCTGCCCAGACTGCCCAGTCTCCTCCTAATTCCTATCATCCTTCCGGCTCTGAAATGGTCTAATTGGACCGAAAGGTCCTAACCCAAAAAAAGTGGTCATCCAAAACACACACCTGCTGATTAACCCGCGCCCTGGTGTGGGTCTGAGCCACCTTCGCCCTGGTGGGGGGGGGGGGGGCCAAAATGACCCCCCCCGTCTAACTCGAAAACGAAGAGGGCTAGGAAGACGCGGAAAAAAGCAAACGAAAGCCCATAACAAGTACGTTCGAAAGTATTTCAGTCATTTTTTCGCTAAGGTCAATATTGAGGTCGCTAGAGGTCATCATAGGTCAAATTTCAGTGTTTTCGGTGTTGCCGGACATATTCCGCTGTAGCTCGGAAACTAGAAGAGCTAGAGAGCCGCGGAAAAAAGCAATCGATAGCTCTTTTCAAGCTCTTTCGCCAAGGTTCGTCAGATTTGACCTCAGCTCAACGGTTTGGCCCACAGAGGTCATGCAAGGTCAACTTGGCAAATTTCGTTGAAAATGTTTTTAACTATAGCATGCATTCACGAGAAAATAGAGAAACGATTCATGCACCATCGTGCTTGGCTCGTCGAGACGCGTCGAATGATATATAGTTTGACCTCGAAAGGTCATTTTGAAAATTTGACCTCAGGTCAAGGTCATGACCTTACCGAAATAGGTCATGCTGCATATCATTCGATCCGCATTGACGAGACAAACACGATAAACGTCGAACGGAGTCTCTATCTCTATTCAATAACAAGTAAGTGCAGAAAAACCGCTGGTGACCTCTGGTGACCAGGGAGATGACCTAGCGTGACCTCAGCGAGGTCACAAGCAAATGGTTTCACATGGGCTGTGATTTGCTGACCCAAGACACTTCAATAACGAAATATAGGAACAATCACGCCCGATTTAGCTGAAAAACAACTACTTTTCGATTCTCCCATTGACTTATAATGGGGAGCAGCGATGACCTGACCTGACCTTAGGTCACATTTATAAAAAATCCGAGATAGCCATTTTGTAGAGCTGGGTGACATCTTCAAGTACTGTAAATTTTACATCGATCGGATAAAAGCTGTGCCTTTGAGAGAGCTTTGAACTTTTTTAGAGGTGGTGTCAGTTTTGGTGACCTTGTGACCTGACCTGACCTGACCCGAACCCCCCAAAAAAGGACATGATGTAAAAATGTTGAATAAACAGCTATACAAAGTTTCAGGGCGCTAACTCAAGTGGTTTCTGAGTTATCGCTGAAAAACCACAGGGGGGGGGGCCAAAATGGCCCCCCCCCACCAGGGCGAAGGTTAATGGTTCACTCGGCAGTCAAAAAACTAGCAGCACAGATGAGATTTACCTTCATCGCACACATCGAGCGGCGCAAGCACGCTAACCGAGGCCTTATGCCCAGCCATCAGAAAATTCAGTCATATTTAGCCGGACTATTGTCGCTGTAAATTATAGCTTGATCTGTTTCTTGAGTAGGCTGACGCAACACTACGCACTTACAGTTCCTCCGCAGCTACGCGGTTTCAAAGTCTGGCAAAGTCATGACATCAGCTGCCAGGTGGACGTGGAGCCTGGTAAAGTCATGACATTCAAAGTCATGACATCAGCGATAAGCGAGATAAGAGACAAAACTATTCAGACAGTAAGGTACATGCTTGGCACATTCAGCTGACTCAGGTAATTGACCTCGATTTAGTACGAGACTGGCTTGGTCTTTGTATACGCCAGATACTACGGCGCGATACTACGGCGACTACGACGCCAGATACTACGGCGACTACGGCGCGCCGGGTTGAGCGCTATACAGGCGAACCCCGGCCGCTCCGCGGTTTTTTAGCATTTTGAGCGGGAAAAACTTCGGTGTGATTGGAATCATGTGTTCTCAGTGTTCTACTACTTGCCCTGCATCTGCATTGACGTCACCAGACCTGTGAGTGAACTGATCTGGATATTATTCATTGTTTAAAATTTTTGGTACCCGTCACCCGTGCTGCTGTCGTGAAGCCACCAGAAAATTCATCGTAGAGACGCAATCATTGTCAGTTGAAGATTGATGCATTTTTGAAAGACGCATCCAACGGTGTTATTTTTATGCGTCTATCTGCTCTCGCTTGCAAGAAAATCGCCAATATCTGCAGGACTATTTCCTTTCCGACGCGGATGCTTTCAACGACTTCTCCGCCCTCTGCCAACCGTCCTCGGTTGTCATGGCGACCAACCCCTACCGGGACCGGCCGGCGCCTGGGACGCCGGTAGCCGGCTAAACGAACAATGCCGGCCGACCCTTCCCCCCTGCCCCGGCGGCCCGCTCGGCGCGGCCGCCGCGCGGGCTGGCGCGCTCGGCGTGCGAGGGGACATGGGAGCAGCGGACAGCTGACTGCTTCCGGCACTGGGGCCCCGAACGGGTCTCGCCGTGTAGAGTGCCAAACACCGGCCAGCGACCACCGACGGGACGATCACAGTCACACTGCTGAATCTGCCAGACGTGCATACGACCGGGCACATCTGATGGCGGTGCGTGACCGACTAAGCAACAACACCACTCGTGAAGTAGCCGAGACTATCCGGCGCAGTCTTCCCGCGTATCTCATCCGCTGTCTTAATCGATCACGCCCCCTCAGCCCTGCGGAAGCGGCATGTGGACCCCGCCCCGCATCGAGGACTCTCCAGTCCAGCCGGCCGACCGACCCGCCCAAATTGCTGATCGGCGCCCTAAATATTCAAAGTATCAAACCCAAACTTCAAGAGCTGACCTGCGAACTCGCTCGTCGCAACTACGACGTAATGCTGCTTTCCGAGACCTGGCTACGTCCGTCTACCCCGAAACGCCTCCTGGTCATTCCGGGCTACTCGCTCAGTCGTGTGGACCGCCCAGATGGCAGCGGTTATGGCGGCGTAGCCATCATCACTAAAAACAGTTTGACGTCAATGACACTGAAGATCCCCGGCAGCGGGAGCTCCGAAAGCAAGCTGGAGTCGCAGTGGGCGCTGCTGAAGCTGGACAAGGGCCAACAGATAATCATCTGCTCCCTTTATCGGCCACCCCGACACTCTGAGGCTGCCCTGCTCGCCGACTTCACGGACCTCGAGGCCCAGCTGCAGCGGGTCCTCATCGATTACCCCAGAGTTCCGTTCGTTCTCTGCGGGGACCTCAACTGTGACCTATTGAAGGGGCCGAGTTTCCGCGCGTCTCAACATCTGATCAGCTTCTTATCGAATTATTCTTTAGATCAACTAGTAACAAATCCAACTTTTACCTCCGGCTCTCTATTGGATGTATGTATTGTTAACAAACGCGAACTTGTGTGTGACACCAGCGTTAATTATTGTCACTTCAGTCCCCATAAAATCATCGACGTGATTATCAATGTGCCGAAAGTGCGTCAAAAGCCCGCCGTTATCTCATCTCGCTCTTTTAAGCGCCTAGATCACCCTGCACTGTATCACGACTTACTCGATGTCGACTGGGATTATGTTTTCTCTGCCGAAACTGTCAGTGACAAGTGGCATGCTTTCTTGTCGTTCTTCGTACCTGTCTTTGATGCCCATGCCCCAATCAAGCGTGTGTCTATCCGTAACCCGACCGCTCCTCCCGTCTCCGCCGCCACCCGTAACCTCATGTCTCAACGTCGCGCTGCGCTTCGCCATCTAGGCCGCAACTCGAGCGAATACAGAGACCTAAACCGCTCAGTCCGGGCGGCAGTGCGTCGAGACAGGCGAATAGAGATACGGAGGGAAATTGGGGAGCGGGGCCCCAACAAAGTTTGGCAGTGCATCAGGTCAGTGGTAGCCGCGAAGAAGGACGGCCCAGACGTCCAGCCCGATCTATCTGCCGATGATTTAAATTCATTTTTTGTATCTGTCGGTCCTCGTGTCGCTGACGAGATCCGAGCCCAAAACACTCCCACCGATTTGGATGTGCGTCTCACCCGTGTCGGCGCATGCAGTTTTCAACTTCGTGAGATAACACTGGGGGAGCTCGAGCGGATTATTTTCAGCATGCGTAACTCGAGTGCCTGCGGCTCCGATAACGTCTGTGTCCGCATGCTGAAATTCGGATTCCCCGCTATTGGTGGTGTCATCCTGCATATTATCAATACCTGCTTAATCCAATCTGACATCCCCGATTCATGGAAACATTCCATAGTTCACCCTCTGTTCAAGTCTGGTAACCCTTCAGACCCCGCAAACTTCCGACCCATTTCCCTAGTTCCTGTAATCATGAAAGTAGTTGAACGCATTGTCCATCAGCAGCTCTACGCCTACCTCTCCCATAATCACCTTCTGGCATCCTCCCAGCACGGCTTCCGCCCCCGGCACTCCACGGAAACCGCGTTGCTGTCTGTCACTGAACACATCCTGGCCGCCACTGATAGGGGGGATTTGTCAATGCTATGCCTTCTCGATCTCAGTAAATGTTTCGACGTGATTGACCACGATCTTCTGATGCAAAAACTGATGTTACACGGCATTGAAATTTCCTGGTTCGCCGCCTATCTACATGGACACACTCAGAGCGTGTCTTTGAAAGATGTATCCGGACGTAGAGTGCTGTCTAGGCCTCTTTCTAATGCCATGGGTGTCTTCCAGGGCTCTGCGTTAGGGCCGCTTCTTTTCACCATTTTCTCTAACAACCTATCGCTATACGCGGGCGACGCAAAAGTGTTTCAGTATGCCGATGACACTCAAGTATTGGTTAGCGGTCCAGCTCGGGACCTCGAAGTTCTCATCTCGCGCATGGAGGACTCGCTCGCGTCTCTCAACGACTGGTTTTGCGCTAACGCCCTCAAAGTGAACGCAAGTAAAACACAGCTTATTGTATTTGGCACTCGTCAAAATCTTCGTAAATTACCAGACTTTAGAGTACCATTCCGCAACGCAGCGTTGCAACCGTGCGCACAAGTCGGGAACCTTGGCGTCACTTTTGACAGCACTATGTCATGGGACGCACACGTCTCTGAACTCTGCCGCCGGTGTACGGGACTGTTGATTGGTCTTTCACATGCGCGCCACTGTCTCCCAGATGGCATCATTCGAACGCTCGTGACGGCACTCGTTGTATCGCGTATCCAGTACTGCCTTTCAGTTTATGGTAATGGGTCCCAAAAAAATTTCGATCGACTCCAAAAAATTCTTAACTTCGCCGCTAGAGTTATTTTCGGCCGCCGTAAATTTGACCATGTCTCCGACCTACGAACAAAACTCGGGTGGTTGTCCCCGCGCGGTATGTCCGATTTCCACACCCTTGTCATCGCACACAAGGTCATACAGCGCCGTGAACCTGAGCAACTAGCAGCCCTATTCGTCGCTAATAGCGCTATCCGCGAGAGACCATCCAGGCAAGATCACTTCTTCCATCTTCCCCGTCCACGGCTGGAAACGGGCAAGCGGCGGTTTGGCTATCGAGCTGCAGCTCTGCTGAACAGCCTGCCACCTCACCTGTCGCAGCTGCCTCCCGCCCGCTTCGCCCGCGCTGTTAAAGCCGCAATCGTGGACGATGAATCAGCACATCGTCGCTGACCAATAGGATAGGGGTGGGTAAAAGCGATGAGGCTGTCCTGAGAGTGTTTTGTCCTTGTTTTGACGTGAGTGAATGTGCAACTGTTTTGAATGATTAGATTAGCAACCGCGGATACGGATTCTGAGCAGTAATCGCCACGCACTTTGTATGTGGATCGCTCTTAAATGTAAATACAATAATACAATACATTTTTCACCTTCCAGCTAATGTTGACATTACTGGGCCGTAGCTGTCCGCGATTCATACACGAGGAAATGGACACACCATCCACATTCAGTCCGTGGCGTTCAATTATATCCACCCAATGCCGCTCATGCGCTCAATTGCACCCACCTCTCCCGGCCTCAGGGGACCTACCACTCCCTTTCAGGGGTCATCCCTCCACTCCCAAGTAACACTATTACTCCCAAGTAACACACGACCCTCATCACAGGTAACATCCACCCCTTCCAATAACATCAGCTACCAGACTTGTGACAGCTCAAAAAAAAAGTGAGCTCGCTCAGCTCAACTCCGTCTTATCCGCTCCCGCTCAGCTCCCGCTCAGTTTAACGCGGCTCAGCTCAGCTCACGTTCCGCTCAAACCGGCTGCGCTCCGCTCACGCTCAGCTCAGCTCAGCTCAGTTTCCGCTCAGCTCAGCTCAGCTCAGTTTCCGCTCAGCTCAGCTCAGCTCAGTTTCCGCTCAGCTCAGCTCAGTTTCCGCTCAGCTCAGCTCAGTTTCCGCTCAGCTCAGCTCAGTTTCCGCTCAGCTCAGCTCAGCTCAGTTTCCGCTCAGCTCAGTTCAGTTTCCGCTCAGCTCAGTTTCCGCTCAGCTCAGTTCAGCTCAGCTCAGTTTCCGCTCAGCTAAGCTCAGCTCAACTCAGTTCCCGTTCAGCTCAGCTCAGTTTCCGCTCAGTTAAATTCAATGCCACCCATTGCCGAATGCCGAATGCCACCCATATCTCCGTAACGTGTCGGGGTCCGGCCAATGACGTCACGGCAATGCGTGTGCTGAATGGTCATGGACATCGAATCATCCGGACACAGGTCGGTACATCACGCTGCAGTGGATAAGGATACCAACCGAACGGCTTACAACGGTGCGAACGGGGTGCAATAGAGGAACGTAGCGATTTCCCGACCGATCGCTTCAGTTTGCGGTGTCGAACTACATGGCCTTTCACCTAGTGACGTCTTTGGTTTGTATATAATATTATTTCCAGTTTATCATGTTTCTAGTGTTTATAGTGTATCAATATTCAATGCACATTGCATTCGGTTTTATATTTTTATCCGTTCTCATCATCTTCCAGTGTACCTACTAGAACTGGATCAGCTAAGCTAAATCAGCTCAGCTCAATCAGCTCAGCTCAGCTCGCTCAGCTCAGCTCAGCCCGCTCAGCTCAGCTCGCTCAGCTCAGCTCAGCTCAGCTCAATCAGCTCAGCTCAGCTCAATCAGCTCATCTCAATCAGCTCAGCTCAGCTCAGCTCAATCAGCTCAGCTCAGCTCAGCTCAGCTCAATCAGCTCAGCTCAGCTCAGCTCAATCAGCTCAGCTCAGCTCAATCAGCTCAGCTCAGCTCAGCTCAGCTCAGCTCAGCTCAAGCTCATTCAGCTCAGCTCAGACAGCAGCTCAGCTCAATGCATTACTGAGCCGGCTCAGCTCACAGCTCAACAATTTGGCAAAATGTTGAGCCGGCTCATGAGCTGAGCTGATTTTTGAGCCGGCTCAACTGAGCTGATCACAAGTCTGTCAGCTACTACATATCCCCGTAACACCCACCCCTACTAGCAGCACATCTTTATCATTCACGACCGATAGCCCACCCCTCTCCCCGCCACAAGTTACACCCACCTCCACCATGAATACTCACCGGCTCGCCAGTTCCTGTGTCGCTGACGATGACATTTTCAGCATCCGGGTCCCTCCGCACGGCCCAGGCGAAAAACGCGGCGCTGGCAGAGATCACGTGACCGGTACTGTTGCGCTGAACGCCGCCCAGGTAGCGGGAGACGTTGAACCGGTACCCGAACACGGGGCTAGGGACAGGGTCACGTGAGGTCAGGGTCAACCGTAGGATAGGGTCACGTGAGGTCAGCACCAGCGATAGGGCAGAGTCACGTGAATTGGCGACAGGATGGTGTCGATTATCACGTTTGAGCACATTACGTCACAGACGGATGCACATTGGCACAAGTGTACCGTTATTTTACAGAGCGAGTGAATATGATATTTGTTACGTAATTTATGTGTAGGCACTGGTTTAGGTTATGACTAGGATATCCGGTGCTCGATGTCAAAATATTATTACATGTGCGGCCGCAATGTTTCTGGGAAGGCGAAATGAACACTCACATTTGGAAATGAAGATATAATGCTTACTAAAATAGCTATCCAGTGAAACATTTGATCACAGAAGAAACCCGCCGTAGAAACGCCAGAGTTAGTTATATAAGCGAGCAGCCATTCTGCGTAAATGGATATAGGGACGATATTCAGTGCCTACATATCTCAAAAGAAATGCAGCTAGAAACTTATGCAAGCGAAGGAAGCGAACTTTAGCACAACATTGCAGTCGTGTGCTGTCATTTGTAGGCACACAGCCGTCGTCCATTCAGTACTCGTTAGTTCCGTACAATGGTGCCAATTGACCGGAGGGGGACAGGGACCGACTCGGAAGTTCAGTGGCATTGAGAAATAGTCCATCGTGCAGCGCCTTTGAAGCGTGGTCGACTGTACGCCAATACTGTCAAGCGGCCGAGGGGGCCGGCGTAGAGACACTGAACGAGCATGGTCAGCAGCGACCACCACCGATTTCGATACCACAGCACTGCCGTTCGGCGGAGCGCGCTTTCACAACCTTCACACTAAGAGACACCGTGCCGTGACGGACCGCGCCCGGGACAGTGCGGGCCGTCGGGGACCGCAAACAGCCGTCAGACGACGATCGCCTGGAGCGTCAAGGTCAAACACGACACAAAGGCCGCAGCTGACGGGCAGCAAACACTGGCCGGATCGCGCTCAGTGAAACGAAAGCGGAGCGGAATTGGTGACGAAACCGGCACGAATATCAATAAAAAAGCGAGAAGCACGAAAGAATAAAAAATGAAAACTAGAGATCTATCGCCATCCCCAGCAAGCTTTAACAAGACTGAGGGCGTCTCCAGAAAGACGGGCGATTCGGTGCTCAGAATCATTACACCATAGCCTGGGAAATGTAACGATCAACAAAACGTCCTCTTGATTATACAACTAACCACTTTCTGCTAGTCATTCCCTATTTCGTTCTCGCCATACCTATTTCGTTCTCACCGTTCCCTCTCTCGTCCTCACCTATAGGCGGCAGTGTTGACAGCAGTGAGCACCTGCTCCCTGGTGAGGTTGGCGATGCGCCGCTCGTTGAAGCGCCACAGCTCCAGCAGACTGGCCTCCCAGCAGGGCCGCTCCATGCCCTCCACCAGCATACAGTGCAGGCTGGTTGGCAGGCTGACCGACGGGTCGAAGTCGTCATACCCCGAGACGTCAAACTCGGGCCGCTGACTGGCCTGACGGCGGCGGCGGCGGCGGCGGCGTGCTTCGGACACTGCTGAGTCGGTCCCGCTGTCCTCAGAGACTAGAGATGGGTCCGAGACTTCCTCCTCTGTCTCATAGACCTCGTCCTCGGGCGCAGCCAGGGATGGTAGTCTGTGGACAGCGGGGCTGGGCGGTTAGGGATGCGAGCGGACGAACAGGGCGGGGTTGGGTGGCAAGGTTGGACAGGCAGGAGCGGGGCCAGTGGTGGGGCGGGTTGAAATGACAAACTTATGGGAAAGCGGTCACGGGAGAGAGTAAACCGCGAGATGGAGGACAGGAGGGCTATTCAGGGGTCAAGGGACGGGCGGCACTGTAAAAACAAAATAGAGGCAATGGGCCATCCCAATACGTTGGCACTAAGGCATTACCCTCCAGTAAAACAACAGTAAATTCATATTTAAAGAAATAATAACTACATTTTATGCCCGGTTTCTCCTTGTCTGGAGCCTTCACAGCCCAGCACGAAGCATGGTGCTCACACCAGACAAACATGAAGACAAGTCCCGAGGGCGGGCCTTCAGACGATCTGGCTGCTTTCCCACCGGCTCTCGTAAAACAAAAACAATCCATTACGCTCAACAAAGAAGACAACGACGCATCTGCATAGATTATTAATTATGTTTGGTGCTTGTTGCTTTACGAGATAAACCAGATTAATTGGCTCGTTAGATGACAGTAAAAGGGGACGGCATCGGGCTTGTTTGTGTCTGCTTTGATCCGATCATGGTGTTCTTTGCGGCACGTCCCAATTTCACGAGCCAAAATTCGACTTGCAAGACCATTTCAAGCTGCAAAAGGCTAACAGCCCAATAAATGTACCTAACGACAAGCAAAACTAGGATACAATCAAATTCCGACAGACATTCAAAAGAGGGATGTGTCAGACCCAGGCTATACCTGATTCATATACAGCGTGCCGTCCGGGTGTAATGAGGAACGACGAACAAAGCTATCGAATTTTTCTAGCTGACCATACAACCTGGCTACCGCAATGCGGACTGATGAAGCCCCGAATCACCATAAGTCGTTACCACGGCATGAGAGCTCTACTGCCGATGTCATTCCCATTTGTAAACAAATTTGTCCAACGAGTGGTTATATCCCTCAGCAATGTCCCGGTCCCGTAGCTCAGTTGGTTAGAGCGTTGGACTCCGCGTGGTGAGAGCACGCGTTCCCGGTTATAACAGTCCGGGTTCGAAGCGCGACGGGCGCTCGACATTTATGGGCCTCCTGACAGGTATGGTTGCGGTTGGTGGCAGGCCGTAGCCAGGTGAAGTCAGCGAGGGGACCGGCCGTGCGCGGCTTTGTGCGCACGTTAAACTTTGGACTCTAAATTCTGCCATAGAATCGGAATTGCGCGATCGGAGGGTAGAGGGCAGGGTCATCGCAACAAGCTTCGCTTAGCGGTGGCTCTGTCCTTGTGAATCCTTCCCATCAAAAGGTTCGGACAAAATTTATGAAAAAAAAATGTAGCCTATGACTCGTGGATCTCGTCCCAACAAGGGGTCAGTGACTTGTAATATGTAAATAAGAAGTGTCTAATAATCAAAGAGCCGGATCGAAGTCGACACTTTATCAGTGGACTCGTTCGATATCGTTTTGGATCGAAAGTGTAGCGAATAGCTGGACACTGTCAAAGTTGTCAACTATTTGGAAGATTCCATGGACTATCCGGCGGACACCAGACGCGGGAGCACATCTCTCAGAATACTTTTCAGCAGATAAGAGGAAATCGAGGAATTGGAGACCAACGAAAAACAATGTGCAGGTATGATGATAAGGTGGTCTAACACAGGATAAAAACAATTAAAACACCCCTAACAAAGCCACAAAACACTAAAACAAAAAGCGATTACATTCAAGTGAGGAGAGCAGAGGTCAGAAACAATTTGACATGAAACAAGCGGATGGTGAGAAACAGAGACGATACCGGACTGACTACAGACTCACTGGCAGTGACACCATTCCGAGAAGCCGTCAGAGAAATCGGGTGGTCCGTGCGGATGGGGGGGGGGGGAGAGGCGAATCTGAGCATTGGGGCATAGTATACTTAGGTTGACCATGTTTCGGTAGAGGGACAAAGTTTAGGGCAGTCTTTGAGTTTACGCAGGGAATGGAGCCGAGTCTACCCTGGTACTTACCGTGCACAGACGTCCGACCACGCCGGGCCAGCACCGGGGACTGCCGACACCCGCTGGTGCACCCGCAGCATCTGCGAGAGAAGAGCAGAGGCAGGGACACGGTAAGGATACGGTAGAGGTGCCGGGCCCATCCGCGGTTTACAGCACACACCTACTGGTGCTGCCGCAACATTCTCCCGTATGAGAGCACAGACGAGAGAACGGACGAGCGTATTTATACGGAGCATGGGAGAACCAATAGCCAACCAGCACTGATTAAACTCAGGGAGATACTTCCAAATCGGCATAATGCATGGTACTAGACACAAACAAACAGTTTGATTGTACCCATGGGTTCATAAGCAGGTCAGCCGGCGGCCAGAAACAAGCATCGTTTATCACCGGCAGTTGAGAGATAAAACGCGGTTACAGCCGACAACATGCAGCGCCGGCACAGCAGACGCCGGCCAGTTCATTTAGCCGTCTGCATCCCTGCCGACAGGCATGTTGACGTGAGTGGCTGCTATTAATGTTTGGAGCGGCCGCAACGAGAAAAGCCGGTGATAGGTCAGCAACGAACGGCCTGCAAGACCAACTGGAAAGATAAGATATATTTATGGAATGCCGGTAAGCTCGTTATGGCACCGAGCCCCCGGTTGGAAGGTTCCAGAGTTCGACCATGATCGGAGATAAACAATAATATGAGCCCTTGGTGCACGAGACACCACGCTGGTACGAAACGTCCGAATGACGCGCTACTTTCAGCAGCGGGACCCTGAGCACTGAGCAGCTGAGCAGAGCACTGTGACGCAGCGGTTTTGATATGGGGGTTATTGCACCACCGGCGCTCCAATGTCACCGAGCAGATGAGCTCCATGAAACGGTGTAAGTAGATCCATCGCTCGTGGGGTAAACAAAGTAAACAGTACAAAGTACAGAGTAAACGTGACGAACACATGGGTCACGACTCACGAGATGACATAGAAACCCACATAACTCCTCAGCCAAAACTCGCTGGAATCTGTGCTTGTGCTAGATCTATATTAGAGATATCAATCGGATATCAACTTTTTGGTATAACGATACCAAACCGACACCAACTTGGTATTTGGTATTTTAATCCTAATGTTTTTGGTATTTTGTTGGTAACTATTCCTCCGTAACGTAAAAGACGCTGGGAATTTGGTAAAAAAATTGGTATTTACCTGGTATTCCTAACTTGGTTCGGTTTTGGTATTTTCCATGGTTTTGGTTGGCATTTGGTTTGGTATCGGTATCCTGATTTTCTGTAATTGACATCACTAATCTATACCTATGTCTGATGAATATCACATTTGTACTGCCCAATTAGGCTCTTCACACCTAAATGTACATAAGCTGCTCACTTCACATCGCGTATTACTGTATAACACATATTCCCTGTCGATATCTGGTATTATCTCTCTATCGAACTATCCTCATTCCCACAACGTGTAATCCTGCGAAGTGTGTACCGAATCACCTGTTGTCACAGCTTATCAAACAACCAAGTCATCCCGCGGATCGAAGTTTCTAGTCATTATCGGCCACTTCAGACAGTCAAACCAGACACCCCTCTCCACCCGCTGTTCCCAAGAGCACCGCCACCCCTCCCATCGGAAGTCAGTCTAGCCGTGTTACTCTCACCCCCCCCCCCCAACTCATACCTCTTGTATCACTGCCGGCTCCAGAACATTCTCAGCCGTGACGATAGCGTTCTCGAAACGGAACTCTCTCGGATAATTGTCCTGCATCCAGTCGTACGTTTTGACAAAGTCCGAGTCTTGCGGTATCCAGAGTTTGAACGGCCGGTTCTCCTGGTGGAAGTTGAGCAGGCCGATTCCGCAGGCCACGGTAATGGCCAGAACCGAGACGATGTAGAGGTATGGGTGTCGGCATACCGTGTACCCGTGCCTGCCGGGTACGGAGGGGGCGTCAGCGGGGTACATACTGGGTACAAGCCGGATACAGGGTGTCGGCGGGACACAGGGAGGGTGACAGTGAGATGCAGGTACGGGTTGCATGTATGGATAACCGGTGCCGGATATGCGTGCGGGTGCCGTATGTATGGATGGGTACCAGGTGTGAGTTTGGGTACCAAGTATGGGTACGAGTGTCTGGTATAGCAAAAACACGGTATATTGGTATGGATACCGGGTGTATACTCGGGTGACGAGCAAATTTACATGTAAAGAGTAAAAAATACGGTTATCACGAGTGTCTCATAGGTACGGATATCTAAACACGTGCTGACAAGTGAGTCATGCTTGTGTTTAATTGCATTACATTCACTTTAATGCATTATCTGGGGGAGTAAGTGCCCTCTGAGATGCGTCATATCCCGATGAAGAGATTTAGCATGATGTTTCACAGACATTGACGGACGAGTTAACAAAAATCATGCTTTGAGTCATTGATGACAATTCCAGTGCCATAAATACCAATCCCATCCATATTCGTAATAAACGCAACCGGTTCCAAGCTAACCGACACACGCCAGATACAAAGCTAATCCTGGTGCTTGCGTAAAGCTGGCTAGACTTGTCTCGGGCTAAATACCACCGCCTCAAGGTCAAACAGATCTACGCTGGGGACTGGAACGCAGCTCATGAGATGGCACTGGGGCACAGCTAGGCGGCGCTTACGTCTATCACAAATGGAGCGGAGGCGCAATACGCCTTGGGGGAGGGGAGATATTTGGCTAACGGTTGATCGCCCGCTGAATGCGACTCTGGTTTAAGGACAGACACCTTCCTCACCCATAGGGTAACAAAAAAAAAAAAAAGCCGCGAGTCCCATTCAGCTACGGACCATACCCAAAGGTCAGGCACCTAGGGACAGCCCTCACCAGCTACCGTCTCCTAAAGTCACGATGCTCCATATCATGAACCGAATGACGCACGTGCTCCTTCTCAGGGAACTCACTGTGATTCACGTGCCGCCCCCTTCCCCAGCGTAGCTCACCCCCCGTAGTCGTGCGACGTACGCACGCTTTATGAGAGCTCCCCGGCTGGCGCGGCGGCCGGCCGGCCGGCCTGACAGGCAGTTAGCACAGTTTACACGCATGGCTGGAACGCTCCCACCGATGACGTCATCGCTGATCGGAGGCCGGCGATGGCGCAACAATACTGCAGTCCAGTTTCACAGAGATAGGCCTGGTTAGGAGTGAAGGACCGGTGTTTTAGTTGACCATGACAGATTAGGAAGACTAATACCTACTTAGCCGGTGAATCAGTTGCACTTCATGCACTTGTTAGTTGTTATGTAACATGTAGGTCACATGTTACAAATAACGCACTGATAAGTAGTGAGATGACTTTTAGGTGATCAACTGAAAAACGCCATAGAGTTTATTCACGCAAGATTCACTCATGTGGTCTTGTGTGCACGTGAGCTCGTGCTAAATGGGTCTCTACTGCCTTACTGACTTGTGCGGCCATCCACTAAGCCGGCCTCTAATTGGTGCAAACTTTGAGCGCAGTCAGCTCAGCCGTTCTTTAGATGCACTCGCAGAACACCCTCCCCCTACTGCACGTGTCAGTGCAGGCTGCAGTAGCAGCCCTGCCGTGACATATGGGAATGCATCGCCCGATGAGAGCCCGCTGTCCAAAGATAGCGAGATAAGAGCTCAAACGTAATCGGTCCCTAGCCATTGCGGGGCTATTGTAGGCGGGAAAAACTCGAATGGCCTTGAGCTGGCACGGTGCACATTACGAATGTTTTGAAGCTCATCCAGATGCATCAGGGCTAGAATCTGTGGTGGAAGGGAATGAATGGAGCTAACCAGTGTACGATATCGGAACTCAATTTCATCGCGGCTGCCGTGACATAATCTTTCAAAATGTGACGACAACCGCCTCACTTTCACTCGTTTAGAATAGCGCGCTGGCCCGTAATCAGACGTGCGTGCTTGTGGACCCTCGAATCAATCGCAAAAGCGTCACGATAATGTGCACCAAGTTTATAATTGTCCCTGTTATGCCAATTTTTCAGAAAGCTGGAGGTTCGGCAGGCTTTTAGACATTCGATACCATTTTAGATTCATATCAAAGTGAGGTGAGATATCGGGTTAATTCGACCACCGACTGCAGTGGCGTGCGCCGCAGTGGCTGAGTCCATCCCATTGGGAAAGGAGTGTCTCAGTAGGACATCCACCCTGTCGCTATTCCCCATCCCTCCTCCCCCGGAGCTCTGAGGCTTCACCGGTTGTCTGGTGGGTTATAGACAGCCAGCAACACGGAATATGATCACGCACGGGTTGGTAGAGATGACGAAAGCAAAGATAGTTCTTTCTTACATTCCCTTTGTCATGGAAGATAATCCGCGAGCCAGCTCAGCTTGCGGAAGCATTACAATCCATTCAATTCAATGAAACACCGGCGGCCATGGGAAGGGAACACTATAGGCCCACACATAGTCCAACAGTAAATCCGTGTTCAGTGACACACAGTAACAAACAGTAAACAGTAAAACCCCAACCGGGACACAGGGAAATGCATTACCCGGGGGATGCCATCCGATCGCCCAAGTTTCGTCGCAATCGCTCCGACCATCACGGAGTTATTGTATACGCGGAACAACTCTGACAATCCTGATTTATAACGTGGTGTGTGCAACGACGCTAGCCTAGATGCATCTAGAGAGATCAACAACGGGATAAGAAGGATGGGGCTTCCAAACAGAGCAGACCGTTGGTCAAACGGATGTTCAGTTGCAAAGATATAAGCCTCCCCAAATCGTTACGTAACCGAAACAATTTTGATATCGCTGACTTGACACGTCGCACGTGCCGCGACGATCACCTGGATGCATCGAGGGTTGTCTATATCGGGTTAGAAGTGATGAGGCTTCCCAGGGAGCAGAGAAGACCGCTTGTCAGACGGACTTGCGGTTACAAAGATATAAGCTTCTCAAAGGCTTTACAGACCGGCCGGGCCGTCCATACTGATATTTTTCAGTCATACTGAAAAGACTCGCTTAGCGCTCGCTCGTAATCACACAACATTCCGGTGGACGCGTACTCCAGCGGAGGTTAAATGGCTCAGGTGAGGTCAGGGTCAGTGAATGTTTACGAAACTCTCAGCTCACAAAAACCGGATAACTAATGCGAGTCCCCCACACCGATAAAACGAGCCTGGCAGAGTCGCCCCGGCGTCTGACACTCACTGGTAGAAGAGGTACTCGAAGCCGCCGATGAACCGGGACGAGACTCTCCGCAGGAGACCGGGCGACTTCATCTCGGGGTTGGCACCGGCCTTCTCGAGCGCCATCCACTCACCACCTGCCCCTGACGCGATCCGACGCCCACTGCACTACACGCAGCGGCGGCCGTCGCCTTTGAGAGCTGGCCGCGCGGCTGCCATCTGCCGGAGGGACGGGGAGTTGCAGGTAGGCCGGCACGAGCATCTTTGGCACGAGGAGAGGACATTGTATCACGTTCCGCCCCGATTATTCAGTTCCTAGCGAAGGGAGGACACGAGGAGAGGACATGGCGTTACGTTCCGCTTCGATTGTCCAGTTCCTAGCGCACGTGATATATGTAGTTTATAAAATTGGGCGTTGAAAGTGTCTGTAAGCACGTCGCAAACGTCCCACTATCTAGCTCCAGCCCCAATTCAGCTTTTCTCGCTCAGGTCAACTAAGATCGCTTAGCTCATCGCAGTCATCCGTCCCGTCGTTTCCATCCTCAGGATAGTCAAATCCTTCTCATCCGCCCCTCAACCACCTACACGTTCCGGGCTGGGCGGTCAACTTTATCCCATGCGTCTAGCTCCACCCCACGAGCAGGCCTGTAGCCGGGTGCAGCGACTGTCAGGAGGCTGGGTGGCATGTCCTCGTGATGGGCTCAGCCCCAACGGTTCACCAGGGTGCCCGCCCAGACCAATGTCTCCCTTATATAATTCCTTTCATCCGTCTGGCTTTGCAATGGTCTCGTTAGGCCGAAAGAGCCTAACCCATCAAAGCAAACAAAGAAATAATCGCAAATTATATCACAGCTTTCCTACGGACACAACCAAAACGCAAATAACTACAGCTATTTTTTCACATGCCTCACTCTCTACACCCCTCCAGCCATTCTGCAGCTGTAGTCTCAACCAGCCGCAAAACCATGAGTTACGTTCGAGCAGTCTACATGTACGTACAATCCCATGCGATCCCCTGGTTCTCTAATGGCCTACATCCTCTAACATTTTATTACATGCTTTGCAATAATATCATTGACTGAAGTGACACCTTTTGTACTGCGACCAAACAAAGCGGCAAATGATTCATAAATGTATTGCAATAACAACTAAAAAACGTTGTTATTGTTAACGCAGTATTGACGTCATAATCAAGTGCTTCAACATCAAAGGACATCGCAGCCCGCAAGTACAAGACATCCGGGGATTCCGGAACAGTAAAAAGTTCAATACAAAGTAACGCTACACAGCAAAGATACATCTATTCCACAATGCATTTAGCTCCCACGCTGCCATGCCACATCGGCTTTCAATCGCATTCCTCTTGAACGTGACATGCACATGATAACCAATACAAATCTCTAAAACATGCACCGTGATGATATTAGAAAACCGTGACTAGCATGGTAAATACACAATATGAAAAAGCAATGTCCCATCACAAATGTTTCGCTATATTGTACATCCGATGTCCATCCGAGGATCTGACTTTACTGCCTCGTAATAATATTGCTCACGTCTTTCTAAGCAGCCAGTTAAATATAAGGAAGGGAAGTAGCTATTCTGAGCAACCAATTACAACTAAGGTGACTATCCGAATGCAGCCTGAGACGTTCTCTTCTGCCTCCCGCTGTCCGTGCCGTGCCGGACAGCCGCCGAGAGTTTACAGAACGCTACCACCGGCGCCGACTCAGACCAGAACGGACGCCTCAGGTTGGCCGCTGTCTCTAGAAGTCGTTCATAGGGCTGCATATCTCAAAGTCGACAGCGGCAGTCGAGACCGGGCGGCGGACGTTCACAGTGCCCTCCGGTCACCGCGCCGGTTGGCCTAACCATCTGTGCCGCTGCCGCCGGCTGCAGACTCCAGTAACGCTGCCGCAGGTCTGTGACTAAACACGAAACACGCGTCGTCGCTGTCTGGGTGGGGCATCGTCCAGTACACGGATGGATCAATCGTAGTCCGTAGACCGGACGACAACCAGCAGCCCTCGCACGTTCCGGCGGGCCGACGGCGAAGAAGGCAAAGTCCAGCGGCATACTAGGCCACGTTCCACGCGGTGGTCGGTTTGGCGGTGGCCCATGCAACGGCAGAGTTGTCAACGTTTTTTTTTTTTTTTTTGCAGATATCAGTACCACGCAGCGGGTGTCCGCGGAAACGGATGAGCGGCAGCGAGCGTGGCTCGTGCTCAGCACAGTGATGTCGGTCGAGAAAAGACCACGTCTGCCGCTGGTATGTAGAGATAGACAGGCCATCCCAACGGGATTGGCTTGTGGTCGTGCGCTGTGCGATCCTGGCTCATGGGCCATGGCAACTGAGATACCTAACATCGCGCATAGGTACTGAACCGTCAAAGCGCACGACTGTCTATTTTTAAGCACCATTAATCATATCTACGTTCCATGCCAAGCAAAAATGCTACAGACCCGTTCAGTACCGGTCGGCAGAGGCCACATAAGGCCTGAGGCCTGCCGAGCGATGCAGGCTATGGTAGCTATTCAGCTTTGCCGAGTGCTGACTCCCTGAATATCGACCTTGGAAAAATAAATAACGATCAGGAACAATGAATGTGAGTAGCCTCATAGGCGGCGGAACGGGGAGGGCACCGCGATACCGTGCCCCCTTGATTTTGGCATTTTAACATTAGCCCTATGGGCGTTGCATGGAAAGAATGGGACCAAAAGTCGGCAGTGCCCCCCCCCCCCTTAATTGAAGGTGTTCCGTCGCTACTGAGTAGCTTGTCCTTTGTCGTTCATAACCCAAAGGCCAAATCTATGTCAGCTCCAGTATCTCGATTCGAACACTTCCCTCAGCTCCGGAGTTGAAGGTGGCCAAAAACCCGGTTTGAAACCTGCAGCGCCCACTTTTTGCTCCTGGCGGGCATGACCCGCGGTCAGTGACAGTGGTCGCAACTCGCAGGTGAAGTCTACGAGTAATGCCGGGTTCACACCGGATTCCGGAACGGCAAAATTCCGTCTGCCGGGCCGGAAAAATGGCCAATTCCGTGCCGGAAAATAGAAAACTGGTGTGAACCGGCAAATCTGGCAACTTCTTTTGACCGGTCCGGCAGGCCGGAGAGCCAGATTTTCCGGTCCGGCAAAAAGTTGAAATCATCTCAACTTTTGCCTTGCCGGATAGCCACCGTTTGTGATATGAAATTAAGGCACGAGGGAAATAATGTTATGTTTCAGCGCTACAGGACCAATTTAACCAACGGTGCCCTAATAGTCTCGCGATTTTTCACGAGAATATAAAATTCAAGCGTAAATTTGACGGCGTTTCATTTTTATTTCAAAACATTTGCATCTCAAACGGAGTGATAGCTACATTTCTGTTTTTGTATTTCACATGACTCATGGCCTTTTCAAATTATAAATTAATTTCATTGGTTGGAAAATATCCATGACTTTATAATAAAAAGATAAATATTATAAGGAAGCGGTGAAAAGGGCGAATTTGTGGAACAACATTGCGGACGCGCTGGTTGTAGAAGGAGCGGAGTAGGTATCTGCAGAAGAGATTATCAAGCGCTGGAGCCGGCCGCAGGACAGGTAGCACAATGTACGTATTGCTAACTTCCGTTGTCTACGAAGTGGAGCCAGCCGAGCAGATTCTGAAATCTACATTCTACAAGACGCGCTGACAACACTTCTCTGCCCTCGATGCCCTCCTACACAAGCACATAGCAGCTCGGGAGGGTGGAGGCAGTTTTGCCATTCAATCGCAAGTAGAAGATTCAGGAAATACGATGGTACTGAATGCCAAGGATATTATCCCGCGCCCTGCTGGGGGTGGGGGTGGGGTGGGGATATTTGAACCCTCCCTGTGGTTTTTCGCGAACATCTCAAAAACGGCGGCTGTTTTTGGCACACCTTATCATGCATCTTTTCTGCACATGTAAAAATTGTAGACCAAGGTCACTTAAGGTCAGGTCACCAGGTCACTTCAAGTGACCTCACCTCATACAAAGTTTCAACGTCTTCCATAGCTACATCGAGCTACCGACCTCTTTGAAACTCTCAGCGATCGATAAGGGCAACAATATGTACACAATTTAAATAAATAACTATCTCGGAATTTTGATATCGGTGACCTAAGGTCAGGTCAATTTTGTGACCTCCCCATTATAAGTCAATGGGAGAAAATCGATGCCAAGTTATGCGTTGGCTTGTTGTAAATCGTCGACATTCGACCTGAAAATCGGTGAAATTCGGCTTTCCATGACCTCTGCTGACCTGATTTGACCAAAAAAGTGACCGAATTAATTTCGTCATTATTTTTAACACTCTTTCGAACGCCGCCTTCCCCGTATCGCTACGTGGTCCCGGAGCCGATTTAGAATGGGGGGGGGGGGTGTTAAACACCCCCCAGCAAGGCGTGGAAATTTAGGACCCCCAGCGGGGCGCGGGTTATGGCGGTAGAGTCAGTGACAGTCAGATGACCGATTTTGAGACCCAGCCATCTACATCAGCAAGCGTAATATCAAGCTCGCCGTCTCTAATACGCCTTGCCCAGCACTCAATTCCTCTTTGTTCACAAGTGTTTTTTAAACCAACAACAGCCAAAGCGCGATTGAAATAAATCAGTGTCTTTTAGTCGATACATAGCCCGCATGCTGTAAATGTTAAATTGTATTAATGTTGCTAATATACCTACCAGTGAAGGATGGATGATTTTCGGTTGGATGGAACTGCATCAGGGACTTGTAAAGCCGTCACACAAGTAGGTATGTTCGATTTCAAAATAATTCGCGAGATTGCTTGGTACCTACTTATCGTACTTAGAATGACATTTCCAGCTCGACTTTCCGGTTTTCCGGTTCTAGCGACTTTTTTGACATCTAGCGACAATTTCAACATTTTGGTGCCGGCCCGGCAGACGGAATTTTTCCGGACCGGAAAACCGGTGTGAACCCGGCTTAAGGCGGTCGGGGGACTGCTTCGTTCCGTGTGGACGCGTTAAGCATTCGACATGGACATTGAACACACTTTTTCTGATCGGGTGTCCGGCAGCGGAGACTGGAATCCACCCAGCAAACCCTGCTATGCATTGGTTCCGAATACGATTAGGAAATTCCTCCATTCAGGGCGCTACTGTTTGATTTCAGAAACAAACTAAAACAGCTTTTGTAAGACACGACCCAGGGACCCAAGGGCCACGCCTGATCACAGTCAGGTCATCGAGCTGCAACGTCGCAGCTCGATGACATTTCACATTTTCTTTGCTTTATTCAACCGTTTCAGTGTTTGATTAACCCGCGCCCTGCTGGCGGGGGGAGGGGGTGTTTGAGCACCCCTCATGTTTTTTCGCGAATATCGCAAAAAACGGCGGCGGGAAGCGCCGCCGTTTTTGGTACACATTATAATACATCTTTTCTACATATGTTGTGAAAATTTCAGACCCAGGTCACTAAAGGTCAGGTCACTAGGTCAGGTCAAAAGACCTCACTGCATACAAAGTTTCAATGTCTGCCAAAGCTACACCGAGTGATCGACCGCTTTGAAACTTTCAGAGATTGATAAGAGCAGAAATATGTACAAAATGTAGATCTGGGAATTTTGATATCGATGAGCTAAGGTCAGGTCAATTTTGCAACCTTCCCATTGTAATCAGTCAATGGGAGAAAACTGAAAGTCGCCTTTTTTAGACTGAAGTCATTATAAACACTCTAAAATGCTGAATTACTAGTATCTTAGACACACTGAACATGAAAATGGCACCCGTGACCCCTTTTATGCCCCTGAGGTCATCTCAGGTCACCAATGGTATCTGACCTTAGTTGGTAAACACCTTAGTTGTGTTTGGCTCGACGATACGGATCGACTGATATGCAACCTGACCCTTACCGGTCAGTTCATGACCTTGACCCGAGGTCAAATTTTCAAATTGACCTTTCAAGGTCAAGTGATAGTTCATTCGACGCATCTTGACGAGAGGAACACGATGATGGTAAAAGGAAGTTCGTGCAAGGTTTGAGTAAAAAGAAATTGCAGAAAAACGGTTTCCGAAAAAAAATCGGTTATTTTGGCAGTGTTTGCCCCCTGCAGGCAAAACCGTTGACGGTAGGTCAAATATGAGAGAATTACTCAGAAAGAGCGTGAATAGGGCTATCAAATGCGCTATTCCGCGGCGCTATAGCTTTATTAGTTTCCGAGCTGTGCGCCGATTTGCTGAAAATTGCTGTAGAGGACCAGTCGGCCTTCTCTCAGCCGTTTGAGCCCTGATCGAGGTAGTGCTTCGCAGAAAAAGCAGGCATATTGCTCGTGACCAGAGGAAGCCAAAGGTACCCAATTTTAAGGTATTTGTTCATCTGCCAACTTTCAAGGTGAGGTCAATGCCTTTTATTTTGGAATATCGGGATTTACTTAAAACTTCTTGAAGTGAACCGCCTCTGTGGTATTTTGAGGTCCTGATTTTGAATTTCACACAAGTTTTTTTTTTGAAAATGATGTGTTTTTGGATTTGAGATAGGCGTGGTCAATTCAGCTCAGCCATCACGTGTCTTGACAGATTTTCTTGGTCAGTGTTTACCACAAAATATGATGTCTCTGCCACATTTTATGTAGGTTCGTTATCAACTCCTAAAGCTACCCTAATAGTAGGTTATAAAACTTAAAGTCAACCAAGGTCAATAACCAAGTAAGTCTATCCAACCCCTTGTCTGGATGTAGGTGTGAGGGTTAAGTTACCTTCAAAAACTTTGCTGGTTGGCTGACTTTGAGTGTGTCTCTTCATCTTGCTGAAAACTCTTCAATGCTGCCAAGCTTGCATTGCTAAGATGCTCAATTTTGTTGTGCTTGTGCATGGCATACAAGATTCAACTTTAAACACTTTCTGTCAGGCCTGCAAACCACTGAATCTGACATCCATTTCAACTTGTCAGGCATGCAGACCCATGAAACCAGTAGGTAGCACCTCAGCCATACATTTGTCACACTTAACCCACGAGCCGCGGGGGGGCATAAAGTTGCCCCCCCCCCCCCATTACGTTTTGTGGAATATCTCCGAAACCTGAGGAGCTACGAACGTGAAACGTGGCATAGCTTCAATTGAATACCTAGGCAATGTTTGAGGAAAGTTTGGTGGTTGTAGCACTTAAGATGACGTCACAGTAACGTCAGAAAGCTTTGTCGTTTTCCGATACGGACTGTTTCTGATGTCGCTGAGCATGAAACTTACTGCAAATGAACCAGACAGCACCTGCTGTCATCCTAAAACATATAAGTACACTTCCAACTAGTTCCTGACGAATAATCGGTCCTTTATAATTGGTCTCATATGTCAGATATATCATGAGGAAACTGAGAGTCGCAAATCTATAATTTGACTTATGATGTCACTGTGACATCATTTCAAATGGGATTGACACCAAATTTGGACACAACTTCAGCTAGGTGTTCAGGAAGATGTGTGCAAAGTTTCACTTCTCTATCTCCTCAAGTTGCGACGATATCGTCGCAAAAGTGAAGGGGGAGCAACTATATGCTCCCCACAGCGGCCGGCGGGTGGCGCGGAGGCCCAGCCAGTGCTGGAAATGAGGCCGCTTTCTGGTCCCGGCGTTTTATTCTCCGGGTGAGTTAGCCCCGTCTAGCGCTTAGCCTTTCGGGACCCTCTCAGAGCCGCGGTTGTTTTCGCCGCTTGGCCCATTCGAGATGCAAAGTTGATAGTCGCACAAAGTTTATTTGGGGCCTCTGAATATACGACTTCGAAATTAATCGATTCTACAAAACCTTTTTCTTTTATCTATATGCATACATTTAACAGTAACTCCAGACTAGACTGGTTTTGCTGGCCCTAAATAAGCTTCGTGTGACTATTAACTTTGCATCTCGACTGGGACGAGCGGCGAAAACAACCGCGACCCTGAGTGGGTCCCGAAAGGCTAAACGCTGAACGGGATTAACCCGCGAGGAGAATAAAACGCAGGGACCAGAAAGCGGCCTCATTTCCAGCACTGGGCCCAGCGGCCACCGGATTAACAGTCCAGCCCCGCCCCATTCAAGCTGCAAGCATGCATTATTTTTTTTGCGAACAGCCATTCATACTGTTTGGCTGCATTGGCAGCATCATTTATTGACAATATTTCATAAGTAGTTAAAATTTGAGACCTTAAATTGCTAATTGCCACCTCAACCTGACCAAATATTAATTAATACAGAAATGTATGCAGATCAAAATACAAGACCAATATACGAGACAGACGGGTCACAGAACCAGATCCAAATTTGTTATTGATGTCATTTTTCTTCACCAAATTTCATAAAAATACTGATCTTCCTACCTACATTCTATATTTTGACACTTCTATGCCAATTTGCCAAACCCATGGAATAAGAAGTGATCATTTTCACTTTTGAGTCAACAATGAAATGATTTAATAAGTAACTAAATAGTTACCTTTATGAAAATGACTCCCAAGGCGAATGACCAAAGTATCTATCAAAATACCAATTTTATTTCAATAAAAAATAAGTTGAATACCAATGCTTATGCATTTTCAAAGTATGTATTTCGTCAAATGTGTTGAAAACTTTTGTCTCATCTGCGCCACTAATGAACTAGGACAACTGGGTAAAATTGAAGAATTGATGACGTCATAGAAAATAAGAAATATCACAAATGGAAACGAAGAAGATCGAAAATTACCCAATCATGATCCAAAATGAGGCATACTTGATACGTCATTTAAAATCTTTGGGTTCAACTGGGTGTGTTGATATCGTTGATATATGGGTTTCTTAAAGGGACCCTCCCACCTTCAAAAAAGTTAATGAATTGGCATGAAAGTGATGTCGCTCGGTTCAGAAAGAGCAAAAACGAATATCTACCAAATTTCATCGAAAAATATTCACCGGTTTTCAAGATATTAGACTTTTAGTTTTGTTTACTTTTTGGGATCTCCGCTGTTCCTAGCGACTTTATCTGAAAGTGCGGCATTTGTTGCGCGCAAAGCAGCATATACCACCGCGTGCTACAAAACGTTTTAGTCAAATATTTAACGGACGTTCGGAAGCCTGATGACGTCATCAGATTCCCGTAATGGTTAAGAGATAGGGACCACGCTGGTCCCACCCTGCAAGTAAAGGGAAGAAATTTCTTGAACACCATAAAGCTGCGGGGGTTGCGACCAGGATAAATGGTGGTTTCTGAGCCTGGCCGCAAACTTGGCTATCTCAACTCAAAACTAATGTTAAGGTGGGAGGGTCCCTTTAAGCCACAAAAATGCAAAACTGGCTTTGAAAGGGGCGGACAAAAAATTTGATTGAAATTTGCTGTCGTTGGTGTCGTTGGTATGGTTTTTTATTCAGTCCCGTCATATTGTTAGTTTCACGGTATGTAGAGAACTGTTATTTTAAGGAGTTATCAGACAGCCTGGTGCATACTGCATGGATCCGAGTGCATGGATCCGACTGGATCTCTGAGCAAACTGCGGGCTAGGACACCGGATCCGGCGTGAAAAATGTATATTAGATCAATGGATCTATCTCATAGCAATAGGATTGGGATCTGACGGTAAACCAAGAACTTGGAATGGATCTATGATCTGAGTGGATCCCACCAGTCCACCACGCAAAACATTTGGAACCAGGTTTACAAGTGTTTCTAAGCCAATAAAAGTGACAAAACTATGGATTTTGACGTGCCATCACATACAATCACTAAACAGGATTTTGTGAGCTGCAACAAGTGATTTTTTGGGATTTCTGTGTTGGTAAAAAACAAGTGAGGATCTGTCTCAATAGATTCCAAGCAAAAAAATTAGACTTAGATCTATGAACCCCAAGGAATAAGGATCTCTTGACAAATCAAAGAGCTGGATCTATGATCCCCTCAGATCTGAGATCAGGATCCGTGGACCATGGGATCAAATCCCAGAGCCATTTTCTCAGATCCATGCGCATGTCTGGTTGTAATAAGCTTTATCTGTAAAACTGGCCTGGTCTACGTCATGCCTTACCTTGGCCTTAACTCACACCAGCAATCACCAGAAAAATACCTTCCTATATCCATATCCCTGGTGTTTGAAGTTGATTTCCTTATCCACATTAAAAAGACATTCCTGGGGTTAAAGAATCCCTTACTTCTCTTTCACACTTATAACTAAGGTACCTATAAGGGGAAGTGGTTTAAAGGGAACATTCATTTTTCCTGAATAGCTTGCATTTAAAGTCAGTGATAACTAATATGCTTTCAGACTTCAGTACCTGGCCTGCCGTTAAACCACAGGCATTTTAGACTTCCATGGAAACTCATGACACTGACCTAAGACTTTGATTATCTTTGACTTGTGAATTGTGATTTCTCTCACGAGACCATGTCGGGCAAGAATGGTCATCCAGTGCTGATCCCTACTCTGATTTACAGTTGACTTGGTGACTGTGCCAGCCAGCCGGCGGTAGCGGAGGCGGCCCGGCGATGCGGCCCTCGTCTGCCTCGCTGCCTGCCCTTCTGTACACGGTGCTGGTGCTGTCACTTGGCCTGTACGTGTTCCTGAGCGGCTTCCTTCTGCGGCGGAATGCCTTCTCGGACCGGGCGCGCCGCTGCGAGTCGGCCGGCGGTGACGGCGCCGACCCGTGCGCCGTGCCGGCCACCTACCGGCGCTCGGTGCTGCTGATCGTTGACGCCCTGCGGCACGACTTCCTCGTGTACAACGAGTCGCTGCCGGCCGCCGCCGCGGCCCCGCACCAGAACAAGATGCCACACGTGCACGCGCTGCTGACGGAGCGGCCCAACCACACTGCTCGCTATCGCTTTGTGGCGGATGCGCCGACCACCACCATGCAGCGGCTGAAGGGGCTCACCACCGGCTCCCTGCCCACTTTCGTCGACGTCGGTGACAACTTCGCCAGCTACGAGATCACCGAAGACACGTGGCTGTGGCAGGCGGGCGCCGCCGGCGGCCGGGCCGTGTTCGCCGGCGACGATACCTGGATGCAGCTGTTTCCGAGCGCGTTCGCGCGCGCGGCGCCGTTTCCCTCGTTCGACATCAGCGATCTGGACACAGTGGACCGCGGCGTGGAGCGTGAGCTGGCGCGCGAGCTGCCGCGTCGCGACTGGACGCTGCTGATCGGTCACATGCTGGGCGTGGACCACTGCGGTCACACGTTCGGACCGGACCATCCGCAGATGGCCAGGAAGCTGGCTGAGGTGGACCTGCTGGTACGCAACATCACCCACCAGCTGGACAACGACACCATCCTGTTCGTGCTCGGCGACCACGGCATGACACGTACCGGAGACCACGGTGGTGACAGCGCTGCGGAGGTGGACGCCGGTCTCCTGGTGGTCTCTGGCCGCCCGCTGCCGGCCGCCGCCGCCGCCCGGCCCGACGCCATCCCGCAGGTGGACCTGGTGCCCACGCTGTCGGCGCTGCTCGGCCTGCCAATTCCCTTCTCCAACCTGGGCACGGTGCGCGCGGAGCTGCTGCCGGCAGCACTGCGCGCGCCGGCGCTGGCGGCCAACGTCCGTCAGGTGGACGCCTACCTGCGCCGCCTGGAGTGGCCGCAGCCGCCGGCGGCTCCGGACTCTGCCGCGCCGCCGCCGGTCGCCGAGCAGTTCCTGGCCGAGGCGCGGCGCCGCTGCGCCCAGGTATGGGCTACCTTCGACACCGGACTGATGGCGGCTGGCGTGGTGCTGTTGGCGCTGGCGGCGCTGCTGGCTGCTGCTCTGGCGCTGCTGGCGCCCGCGCTGCCGGCCGAGACGGTGCTGGGCGCCCAGCGCGGCGTGCTGCTGGTCACGCCGCTGCTGGCGGCGCCGGCGCTGGCCGTCGGCTGGCAGCTGGAGGCGGCGGCGCCGGTGCTGGCGCTGCTGCTGGCCGCCGCCGCCGTCACGGCCACGGTCGGCGTGTGCGCGCTGCGTCTGCGCAGTGCGGTGGTGGCGCTGGTCGGGCGGCGCGGGTGGCCACGGCCAGGCCCGCGCGGCGTGGTGGCATCCCTGCTGCTGCTGGTGCACGGTGCCAGCTTCTTCTCCAACAGCTTCACCGTCAGCGAGGACCGCGTGACGGCCTTTGTGACGGTGACGGCTCTGTTCGCGCACCTGCTGCCGGTGGCCGGCGGTGTGCGCGTGGCGCGCTCGCTCCCGCAGTTAGTTGCAGCGTTCGGCGGTGGTCTGCTGGTGCGACTCGGCTGGCTCGGGTTCGCCTGTCGCGAGGAGCAGTGGTGGTGCGAGCCGGGCCTGGTGCACCGGCCGCTGGCCAGCCTCCAGGACACTGGCTACCGGAACGGACGCCTGTCGATGGCGGCCGCCAGCCTGCTGCTCGTGCTGCTGGCGCACCGGGCGTTCCTGCGCCACTGCGGCAACCTGAACGGGTTCTCTGTGACGGAGCTGGTGGCACGCTGGTGCGGCTGGCTGTCGGCCGCCGGCCTGCTCGGCTGCTGGGCGCTGCAGGCCATCGAGCCGGCAGCCGTGGCGCTGCTGGCGCCCGCCCAGCGCCGGCTGCCGGTGCTGCTGGCGCTGGGCGCCGCCGGCCTGGCGCTGGCTGTGCTGGTGGCGCGGCCGCTGCTGGTGTACGTGCGGCCCGAGCTGGCCGGCCAGCGGCTGGTGACGCGCGTGTTCCACCGGCTGCGGCACCAGCTGAGCGGCGCTCCCGGCGAGCTGCGCGTGTTCGGGCTGGGCTCGGCGGTCAGCGCGGCGCTGCTGACCGCCCTGCTGGCCGGCTGGCTGCCGCTGGTGCTGCTGCTGGGCGACGGGCGCACGCCGGCCGCCGCGCTGGGGCTGGCGCTCACTGCGCTGGCAGCTGTGCTGGTCGGCGCCGATGGAGTCACAGGTGAGATGCTAACGAGGATATTACCGAACAGCTCCTAAAGGCGGCTGCCACCAGCAGCAGCTGTTGTTCTGGAAATAATCACCTGGTACCTATTTCTTGGGCGTCATTCAGTAACGACCTTTGAAGTTCGGGTGCCCTGAAATGTCCGTCATCATCTTACATCCTGAAGGTTTGCTCGACTGTATGATCGCTCACGCTCCATGGAACGTGACCTTTCCGAATGTTTGATCGCTATTCGCTACCCGCTGCTGGCAATGAATTGTGTTGCATGTTTTCCACCATGCATCACTGATGAAAAGATGTAAGCGCTATTAATGGTGCATTGTTGTGGAAAAGCTATTTCGCGATCGTTAATTCCTTGTGGATATCATCTTAATGGTTAATGTATTAAACCATCAACAATAATGGATTCTTGTCACGATATGGCTCACTGTGCCTCCGTTCGACTTATTTTTCATCATTCCTGGGTAAACACACATCATAAGGATGTGTATATCATCATCATAATTCATGTGTATATCTTGCTTGTATTTGTTGGGCAATGGACACGCTTTATCAGCTCGACCAGTCAATACTTCTCATATGTTCAGTTTTTCGTCTTTTCTTCAGCTCTACTTTCTTTACATCATTCGTCATACTACCGCCCCGTAATGTTGAGTCCCGTCACCGTCACCCTCCCTCCCGTTCCCGTTTTCAGCCGGCGGCGACTGGTCGGCAGCGGTGCTGTGGGCTGAGCTCGCCTCGTTCCAGTTCTTC